GAACTTTATTAGGCGAGAAATAAATTAGGAATCTAAAAACTATAAATATACTTTATAGCTTTTTAAATACTATAAGCTCCTGAATTATAGGCTCATATTTTGTTCTAATATAGTAGCCTTTTTATTTTCCTTTTATAATATTGATTTTCTATTTAGCTTCTAGTAATTGAGTTTTTTATTTCTATATTAGTTTAATTATATAAATATAACTTAGAAAATATATTTATAATTATTTAATTATTCTAATATATTATTTCAGGACTTATAATATAATAAGAAAAATAATTTCCTTAAATACTAAAACTTATTTCTATATTATTACTATTTCAAATATATTTACTAGATAGCCTAATAATTTTATAAACGAGTATTTTATAAAGAACTTTTTTACTAATAAGAATAATTATAGTTTAGTAAATAGCTCGAGAATAATATAAAGATATTAGAAATATTATTTTATTATATTTGAGAAAATAATATTATTATTAATAAAGTTCCTAGTAAAGCTAATATAGTTATATAGTTATATAGCTATTTATTTATAAATTATTAAATATATTAGATAGAGTTTTAGAAACCTATAAGTATAATCTTTAAGTATTTCAAGCCGTAATAGCTAATAATTATAAAATAATCTTAATATTTTCTTATAATAAGAAATTAGTAAAAGAATTAGGAGCTATTAATAATAAAGATTCTTTTATTTTCTTATAATACTTTAATTAAGTCTAATTATAATAATAGTAAATATATATCTAAAATAGCTAATTTATTTATAATATAAAGATTAATAATAGGATATTTCTTTATAACTATAAATACTAGTAAGATAAAAGAAGTCGGTTTATAAATTCATTTTATTTAATCTTATTAATATAATTTATTAAAGATATTATTAATAATTTTCTTATATTTCTAATTTAAGGAAAACTTTTTTAATATAATTTTTTTATTCTACTAGTTTTTAATAAGGGAAATTCTTATCTAATTCTCTTCTAGTATATTAATTAAGTTCTTATTAGTTTAATATTCTCGGAATTTAGTAATAATATTATATAAGATATATATTATTTATATATTTTTATTATAAATATATATAATTTCTAGTATATTCTAGGGCTTATTAATACTAAACTTATATTATTTATTATATTAAAGTTTTTCTAAATTTATATTAGTTTCTTATAGAATTACTAGATCTGTTTTCTCTTAGTTATTTAGGGCTTTAAAAAATACTTAGTCTTTAATATTTATTAATTAGTTCAGGTTTATATTTATTAAGATTATTTTTATAATATTCGTATTATTAATAATATTAATAAAGTTAGTATAATTCAGAATTATATTCTTTATACCTATATAGCTTTCTTAAAAGAAGTATATTTTATTTTCCGGAACTAGTATATACTAGACTAGAACTATTACTTTTAATTTTAGGGAAATAATAACTTTTCTGGCTATAAGAATATAATATATTATCTTAGAAATATAATAGAAAACTATAATATTTATAACTAGATTATTATATATCTTTATAATAATTATAGAATTCTAGTAATTAATAATTAAGAATATTTATTAAAGGAACTTATTACTAAGAAATAGGCCCGGTTCTAATTATTTTATAACTTATATTATAATAAAGATCTTACTAAAGTATTTCTGGCTACTTATTATATTAAATATATATATAAGAAAAATTACTTATTTTATAAATATAATTTTATTTGGAATTTCTTTAAAAAATATAGATTAGAAAATATTATAGGAAATTTCTTTATAATTTTCTAGCTATTTCTGGCCTATAATAAGGCATATATATCTCGTATTAATATAAGTTAATTTTATTAGCTTTCCGGATCCGAATTATATATATAAGAAACCTTATTTGTTTTATATTTGACTTTATAAGAAATTACTTTAATAATCTTTATTATAACGGGTTCTATAAGTTCAGAAGTTATTATAGTATTAGTATTAGTATTAATATAAATATATTTAAATATCTAGAAATAGAATAAGAAAATATTATTATACTTTTTATAAATATAAGACTTAATATTATTAGAAATAGCTAAATAGAACTTGTTTTATAAAAATTATATATTATTTACTAGAAAGTCTAGAAAAATAAACTTCTTTATAATAATATATTTATTATTTTCTAACTTCTTTTTATATTTATTTTTATAATCTTCTAATATATTAATATAATTAGATATTAGATTAGTTTTCTTATTTTAATAATATTAATAAAACTATTACTTATTATATTCTTATTTAAAGTATTCTTTTTTAAAGCAAGTCTTATTCTTTTTATTTTCTTTATATATTATAATAAGAAAATATCTGGGTTTTAGTAATAGAAGAAGTCTTATATTTTATTTATAATTAATACTATTTCTTTATTAAAACTAGTATGGCTATTACTATAGCCGGGATTAGTAAGAGCGAAATCCGGAAGTAGTACTCTAATAATTACTATTTTACGAATATCTGGGATTTATATCTCTAGTATTAAAATATAAGACTAGTTAAGTTAAGGTATTATAAAAACGTCTTATTATAATTATATCTTACTATACTTTCTACTTATTAGCTAAGTTCTTAAGCTATTCTAATACTAATATTTTCTTATCTAAAGTAAAAATATATAATTATTACTTTAGATTAAAATTATTATATATATAAAAAAGCTATTAGTATAGTTTATTTATTTTTATTTCTGCGGCTTTTATATATCTTATAATTATTATTATATATCCGCGAATATTATAATCTTTCTTTATATCTTTTATAATATTTTTTTTATTTTAGAGTTTTTTTATTACTTTAAATATAGAGTCTTTAAAGTAATTTATTAAATACTTTACTTATAAAATAACTTCCTCTAATATAAATTAAAAGACAAGTTTTATTATTTCCTTAAATTTCTTTATATATTATCTTTAAGCTATTTTATATAAGTAAATATATAAGTTTATATATATAATATTTTTATATTTTTCTTATATATTAAATTAAAAAACATTAATAAAAAGATATATATTTCTCTAGATTATAGTCTTTTTTTAATATTTGTAATCTTTTATATTTATAGAATTATTAGATTTAAAAAAACTAATATCTTTTGGATTTTATCTTAAAAAAATTCTGCTTATATTAATTATATTATATCTATTACTAAAGCTCTAATTCCTATTATTAAAACTATTGCTTTCTTTATTACTTCTATTATTTACTCTAGTTCTATTACTATTAAATAACTAATATTTCTAGTATTTATTATATTTATCTAATATTTATATAATAAATATAGCTATTTTAGTAGCTATTTCTGGGAAAAGAAAATACTTTTATATTAGAACTATACTAGCTATATTACTACTATTATTATTTATTCTAGAAATCTTTTTAGTCTTATTACTATTTGGTTTAGAAAGTTAGTAGCTATTTAATTAAGTTTCTATACTAGTTTTAGTATAATAATAATAATTTTTAATACTTCTTCTGGTTTTAGCTATATCTTTATTTTATAATAGGAAGTATTTATTTATAAGAAAGGCAAATTTCTTAATAATAATATTAAATATAAATCTATTAATAGCCTATATACTTAATAAAACTAGATAAGAAGGTTATTATATAATTATGAGTTTATTAACCGAGGCCAACTAGCTATAATAATTATTTTATATTATATTCGAGACTATAATAAGATATTATAAAACTAGATAATTAATAATATTATTAATAGTTTGTATTTTCTCTATAAATTAATAGCCGGTTATTTAAAACTAATTAAATTAATAAGCGAGATTAATAAAGTCTTATAAAAAAGTTAAATTCATTATTAAATATAGCTTATATTTTTTAGAATTATTAAATTATAAATAGAAATACTACTAAAATAAAGAAGTTCCTAGATTATATTATAATATATATAAATTTAATAATTATTACTACTTATTATATAAGAGAAATAAGTTAAGTAAAATATAAAAAATAATTAATTACTATTTAAGGAAAGTATTACTTCTAAGGTATTACTTATATTATATTATACTAATATAACCTTTATTATTTATAATATAATAATTATTAAAGCTTTAGTTCCTATTATTAAATAACTAGTATTTCTAGTATTTATTATATTTATCTAATATTTATATAATAAGTATAATTATTTTAATAGCTATTTTTAAAAAAAGAAAATATTCTTATATTAGAATTATACTAATTATATTATTACTATTATTATTTATTCTAGAAATCTCTTTAGTTCTATTACTATTTAATTTAAAAGATTAGTAGCTATTTAGTTAAGATTTTATACTAGTTTTAGTATAGTAATTATTATTTTTAATATTTCTTCTAGGTTTAGTTATTTTATTATTCTATAATAAGAAGTATTTATTTATAAAAAAAGCTAATTTCTTAATAGTAATATTAAATATGAATCTATTAATAGCCTATATACTTGGTAGAACTAGATAAGAAAGCTATTATATAGATATGAGTTTATTAATTAAGGTTAATTAGCTATAGTAATTATTTTATATTATATTCGAGACTATAATAAGATATTATAAGACCAGGTAATTAATAATATTATTAATAATTTGTATTCTCTCTGCAAATTAATAGCCGGTCGCTCGAAATTAATTAAATTAATAAGCGAGGTTAATAAAGTTATATAGAAAGATTAAACTCGTTATTAAGTATGGCTTGTATCTTTTAGGGTTATTGAATTATGGGCGGAAATGCTACCAAAATAAAGAGATTCCCAGGTCATATCGTAATATATACGAATCCGACGATTACTACCACTTATTATATAAGAGGAGTAAGTTAAGTGAAGTGTGAAAGATGATCAATTGCTATGTAAGGGGAGCGCTACTTCTAAGGTATTGCTTACGTCATGTTACGCTAACGTGACCTTCATCATCCACGACGTAACAACTTTTCACGAGGTCCCGAGACTGAGCTCTGGCTGTATTCTTCATTGGAAAGAGGCGGGGCAACAAAAAACGAGTCGAAATATGAAGAGCAGATCATTGGCGTTCTCAAACGGGCAGCGGAAATAGAAAAAAAGCTTTTCAGGTCACCGCCAAACTCCAGGAGTCGTGCTAACTGGAAATTTGCATGAGAAAGTACTTGATATTATTCGGGTAAGGGGACTTGTCAAGGATTACACGGAGCCCTACTTAAATTTTTTATTCAGGTCAGAGCCACTGACCACAAGTGTAGGTGCTGGGTGGGAATTATTCTCCTATTCCCGACCAACTCCGGAGATAATCTTCATGTAGCAATTGCTAATCCCCCCATTTCGTAGCCCAATCTGCTCTCGGTTTCGGAAAGGCTAGAGTGGTCGACTGTGGAAAGCCAAGCGGATATTGCTCTTGTTCTGTCGAGGATTGATGTTCCTCGAAAAGAGTGTGAAACACCCTGTCTCTGTTCGAACAGACGACTGACTTGTGCCAGGAGAACCATTGTCCTGCTACCAAGCGCAGCCATTCGAATTGGTGGTGAACTTATTGCCTGGGGATTTTTAGGTAACATGTGATTAACATGCCTCAGCCCTGTCTAATCGACGGTCTAGGCACTCACAAGCCTGCATTGCGAGGTGAGGGTCTACCACCTACTCTTCAATCACCGTCCTCATTGTCGACAGGAAAGTCACCGTTGCAGAGGCTTTGAAGTTGTTCCAGGAAAGAACCACGGACTTTGGCCAGGAACAGTTTCACCGTGCTGATGCGGGGACGAGAAATCTGCAGAGTCAAGGTGTCAGGCATAAGAGCCTTGGAGGTATCCAGGCGTGTAGGTTGGGAGACACCTGTTTTATGCTTTCATCAGATTCATTATGATTTTCTACCGGACGATCTTTCGACCCCCCTAAACCGGTCCTTTATAAGCATTTGCTGTCTTCCATGTTACTCAGGGTCGGTATATTGGTATGATATGATCCTGGTGCTCAAATTCGAAACGTCAAATTAACCTTCAGCACAGGGCATGGGTATCAATCGATTTCGCGTGGAAAGACACAAGGTTGACAGAAGCGAGTGAGTAAGAATTTTAGACTTCTATGCATTTCCTACCCATGGAACACTATTGCCTTGCGCCTTCAATGACCGGATGATCTACACATACATTCACTGTCTCCGAACGCCACGCTTGAAGCTCCCCTCGCGAAGCAGCGGGAGCCTAGCCCAACCCGCGGCCCAGAATAAATGGGGACCAGCAAAGCTAATATTTGAATACAATACATTTAAAAACCCCTAGGATAGCAGATTGCGTAAGGATGGGCTTGCACTAGCTCCTCCATTGACTCGACCGTCAGGTGGTCGAGGTCCTGTACCATGAGAGTTCCCAACGTCACGGCTGGGCGGGCGAGAATCACGTAGCACCGGAGGACTCCCCTGGGATGGCCCAAATGATGTGCGAGGATGCATAGGTGTATTTGAATGAGAAAGGGGATGCTCGGGGGCCCGCGGCGGCGGACCTCCATTGGCCAAGTTCTGAGGTGGCGGCCGAGTAGATACATACGACCCAGAGGTTCCATTTTGAAGATGGATGGCTGAGGAACCAATACCTCGATGAGGCGAAGGTGGATAGCCGTTTGGGACTTGAGCGAAGTGGCTATTCTGGTGCGGGGAATGTGGCAAACCCTGGACGGGCTGCCGCATTTGAGACTGTCCGTTCATCTGCTGAGAAACACCACCACTGATACGTGGAGAGTGGGCACCATTGAGTTGGTGAACCATTCCACCTTGAGGTGCGGGCGATCGCCTGGACCAATTGTATCCGTTCGTCGGGTATGCCTGGGGAGGTGGCCAGGCGAAAGGGCTCGGGAGTTGTTGAACCATTTCCGGATCCGGGGCGGGGATGTTGATTGGCGCAGGAGGTACTCTGACGGCTAGCGGAGGGGACTCCCGAGGAGGTGCTGGCGGAGGCGGTGTTGGCTCCTTTCGAATCTTCTTCCAGTGACATTTATGACACTGCAACTCGGTTGGTCCCGTAACAGGTTCGAGGGCATTGCCATTTTGGGTCAACGCAGCAGCTGCAAGTGCCGCATGGCCCCCACCAACCTCATCGGTGGAATGTTGATTATCATGGCCATTCGTTAGTGGCAGCTCATTTGTATGATGGTCACCATTGGTGATCGTAATATCGTTAGATGAACTGGTCGTGGGTTGATCCGGGATATCTTGAGGGAATGGCCACCACTTTGGGCTGACCCCAACTTGACATGTGACGCAAATCTTCTCGCGATCAGCTTTTGTTACTGATGATGATTCGCCGCCCCCTTCCTCGACTTTGATGTGAGAGATTGAACCTCGCCCAGTGACGTTTCCGTTAACGCCTGATGTCGTTGAAGTCCGGCGATTCGCTGGAGTGGGAACTACCACAGGGTTAACCTTGGTAGATTGATTGACCAGGGTTGCTTTTCGAACGGTCCCAGTCAAGGTGAGGTCGGCCTGCTTGAAGTTCTGGACATAGAGCTGCAATGCATTGAGCCCCGAAGAAGCATCAACAATGTCATGCATCCGATGCACAATTGTTTTCGTTGGCACATGTTCCTTGCACCAAATCGCGGCGGTCATGGTGCCAACCTCCCCATCAATATTGACAATACTAAATTGGTCTCGGCGAGATCCTTTCACAGGCGCAATGTCGAAGCCGAGGATATACCCGGCTTGGTGTGCACACGCAACGTGAACTGGAAATATGAGCATGTACCCGAGCAACTTGAGGAGCAATGCTTACCTGGAGCTTTACACGAATGACAACCGACGCAGGCTCCGTTTTTCTGTTTGCATACTTTGCAGACCTCGTCGTACCTAGCAGAGGCAATCGAAGGGATGCCTTCTGACGGCTCCAGGGCTTTCGCGTTGCCAAATTTAACCTCCGGCGTAAAAACCGCGCAAGTGACATGGACCCAATTATTATTAGCTGTCCGTTTCAACGGCTCTCGAGGATTGACGGGTTTGTTCATCTCTTCTTGCTTCTTACGGTAGAAGTCTGCCACTTTTTGAGCAGCTTCGCGGTCAATTCGATCACGCTCGCGCTCCTTCTCTGTCTTCTTTTTATGGGAGACTTTTGGCGGCTCGACAAAATCATGTTCCGTGTGTTCAACAGGGCAGAGGATGCATTTGTATTGCTGGATGTATATCAGTATTGAGTTGAGAGTGCCGAAAGACTTGCTTACTATTGAAACCTGCGGATTCTTATCGTTGAAGCACATGTCGCACACCCACTTGCTAGGACTTCGGCTTTCACCTACGACTCCGTAGCAATTTCGATGTACAGTCATCCGACACTCTTTGCATGACAAGTGTTGATCGCCCATAGGATCCATTTCTCCACATATCGCACATGGCAGCATCTTTGGTTTAGGTAGTTCTGGTGCAGGTGGCGGCCCGGCAGGTTTTTCGGACACCGCCTTCTTTTTCTGTCCAGAAGTGGTAACACCCCCTGAGTCCACTGCGGGATCCGCGGAATCTCTGTCGAATGAGCTCTTGATCTTCTTTTTGGGCGGTTCGGCTCCTGTAGCTAGATTAGGGAGCGGCGCGGGGCTTCCATCTGCAGATACAAGTGCAGTCGGTGCAAGATTTGCTGTGATGTCCACAATGTCATTGGCAGCGACAAGCTCTTTGAGAAGTTCCTCGTCAATCTTTCTCTTCCATGCTCGGCCTCCGGCTTGCGCAACTTTCTTGGCAACTTCATCGATATCTTCCCATTGGATTGCGTAACGGCGCCAAAGTTCTGCGCATCTTCGGCACAGCGCTACCATCAACTGAGGACCTTTATCTTTGCCCGTTGTTTTGGCAGCCGGGTTTTCTGGTATCATGGTTCCAGCGGGGGTATTTGGCGCTCGTCGCCACTGCCTTGAGTTTCTCGTGCTGCAGAATTTGCACTGAAAGCCTCTCTTCTTCTCAAATGCTTTATCGTTATCAAAGGCCGAGTCATCATACTCGTCAGCGACGTCGTCTTGCAGTTTGCCTGCAGATGCTTCTGCTCTCTTCGCTTCTTTCTTACCCTTTCGCCCAGAATAATTACCCCACACCTGCTTCCCACGTTCGGTCTTTTTCCAGGTATAGTAAAAGCGAACAATGTTTGCAGGGCTGACGGTTTTGACGTGCTTTTTGATGCTGTGCCATTCAGATCCGTATTTTGCAACGCCGTCCTCGAATTTCTTGACCTCCGGGCCACTTAGATCGGGTTCCTTGAAGATCCTTTTGTCTGCTTTAGACAATTCATCTAGTGATTTTTCCGCATCATAACCATTCGAGAGCAGAACTTGAAGGGCAACATCTAAGAGATTGGTAGACAAATCGGGCAAACCTAGCGGCCTCGCCAGTTTCGCGGCTCGACCAATGTAATCATAAACCAGTTGCTCCCGGGCAGCTTCCTCAACGAATTCGGACGAATCAGTATCGCCATTCTTCATCGGAATTTGGTCCGCTTCCGGAAGGTTGTACAGCAGCCTCGCGGTGTTGTTTGGGTCGTCGTTATCGTAGTCTTCCCCTCTATGGACGTAGCCGAGGGGTTCATCCATCACCCACTTCGGACGCTTCTCTCGCGCAATCTTCTCCGCTTCCAAAGCAGCAATTGTATCCTTCGACAGTTGTGCTACCTTTTTGTGACCACCGCCTTTCATGTACTTTCTTTTGATTTCCGCGGGCTTGATATACTCAACTGGCCTCCCGGGCCAAAGGGGGACGTTGGCTTGATGCCGTGGGCCCAACCGAGAACTTGCCCTGGGGTATATTCTATCATCATAGTCTAAGGCATCTTCAACTTTGCAGTGGATGCCGAGGTATCGAAACAGCCACAAGCTTGCTTGATGAATTTGTTCAGCTGTGCCTGGATGAAAAGACATATCTGTTTCGCTCGAGATCGTAGGACTGGTTCGGCCAGTGTCGAAAGCATCACCAACATTTTCAGGAGAGTTTCCCTCTTCATCAACATACTCTTCCTCTTCCGCATACATGGTCGGATCCGTGACATTTGGGGTGTTTCGGGCCTCGAGCTTTTTCTCCTGAGCTTTGCTACAAGGCCCACATGCCCAAGCAAAACCACGGGATGGCTTCTTCAACAGTGGTGGATTAACACAGCTCATGTGGTACGTGCTCTGGCATACAGCGCAGTCTACAGAGTCATTGCTTTGACAGCATTAGCTGGCGCGAGAACTCAAAGGTATAGATGTCGAGGGGGGGACAAACCTCGCACAATATTTATTACACCTCTTGCAGGACTTGACAGCACTTGTCAACTCCTTCCCTCGTCCTGGCTCGACGACGATGTACTTCCATCTCTCATCAAGGACCTTTTTAACTTCAACGGGGACATTGATAACCTGACTGGTTGGAATAACATCGTAGAATCGATGGATGTAACGATCATACAGCTTCTCGTACCAAAAGCAGTCTTTCGTTTTTCTCAATTCGTCCAATTTGTCTACTTCACTCTTGTGCTTGATCTGACACTTTCCACGAAGGGCTGTAAGTGGACTAATATCAGAGTGCATGGAAGCAAATACTTGGCGTGTATCATTGACTTTGCGGCCAATGTCTTTAGGGCGATAGTACCAGTTGAGTCGTAGGGCATCAATAGGCTGGCTGCTATCATTGGAAACGTGGAGAAATTCCATAATTCGTCCAAGATAGTATGGCTCACCAGGAGGCTCGCAGACAAGATATACGTGATCTACAATATCGTCAGCGTTTACAAACTCACAAAAATCCCAGGAGTAACAAACCGTTGACCTCTAGAACGGTGCCATCGTCGGCTACAAGTCTCTTCCCGCTCAGGCGTCCAGCACAACCTTCAAAGCTCAGCATATTCGAGTCTCGGAAGCCAGCAACAACTTGAGCAGCCATACTGGCCCTGCGAGTCACGGCTTGAGGCGTGGCAAGGTTTTGTGCTGGAGCTTGCGGCTGTGGTTGAAACGTGGTTGGTTGACTTGTTGCCTTCCGCTTTTTGGAATAATGGGAAGAGCCGGTCGCAGCGGGATTGGCAGAGAAGGTAGAAGTCCCTGGAATTGGCTCCTTATAATGACTTTGTATCGTGGGAGTATGCTCTGTCTCCGGCACTGGATTTTTTCGAACCAGGTTTGTCGGTCTCGCAGTGTCAACAGCATGGCCAGCGTCGCCTACCCGTGCGGCTTTCCGCATGTTTGCATCTTTGGAATATGGAGCCTCAAATTCTGCATCGATTTCCTTATCCTCAGCGTAGTTTGGTCGAGATGTGCCCGTCCTATTGCGCGACCGGGTACCGTAAGGAACCACAGCACCTGTGCCGCTAGGGGCGGTTTCTTTGTCGGATAGATTCGAAGAGGTAGAATTAGATGCCGTCATGGGTTGTGATTCTGCTGCGCGCATGTTTGACTTGGGCGTGGTCGTGTCTGCTAACCCGGCCGATTCGAAAACAGCGGAAGGGGGGTGGGGAATGACACCAGGAGCTTCGCCGGAGGACATCGATTCCTGCGCGGCATTCTCGTCGCCATCCTCATGCGATGAGGGGCTGGCGGTTGAGGCCGCAGCACTCGGACGACCAGAGGCATCTTTGGTCATGGCGACTGCGTTGCAAGCAGAGGTCCCACGGCGCCGCTACGGATGGGGATGGAATGGAAGCGCTTCTCGCAGATAACTGGGCGAGAAGCGCTGTTGTACGAGGCTGTCGAACGATTGGCAAGCACAGCTTTGACCCATCAGAGTGAAATAATGAACGGAGACGATGGGGAAGTGGTGGGTGGGGAATTTCCGAGGGCAGGCGCGCCGAGATGCTTCGAATTGCTCGTTTTGAGTTGGCCAATGATACCCGGTGAGACGAGAGACGAGGCTATAGATTCCACCGTTTCAGTACTCGGACGAGATGTGAGTCGAGCCAGACTGTGTCGAGAGTCGGGTGCAGAAGGGTGGGGAGACAAACGCCTGCCCAAGAGGAGGCCGCAGAGTTGGGCGGCGGGGAAGGCAGTTTGAGGGGATGGAATGGGATGGGATGTGTTCGGGAGAAAGCTAAGGTATGGTTTGGAGGTTACCTCAGGTCTTTTGTGATATGAGGCGCTAATAAAGGAAAGGCGGCCACGGCGGCCTACCGGGCCCTGGACAGGTGCAAACACCACTCGGCTTTTTCACACAACATCACCTCGCTTCGTACAGTCCCTCATGCCTCGTAGGAGGCCCACAACACACGGTGTTCATCTCTCACGTCCATCGCTCATTCGCCGAAGTTCTTGCCACGGCATTCATACCAGGCGAGCTCCTACTACTGACTGACCACTGACAGCCCATACCTTCTCCTCAGGTCTCGTGACTTGGGGCCCAGGCCCCCTCCCCCCCAGAGCTGTGTTGTGGGCGGGATTCGGAATTGAATGTATTGTCCTTTACAAGCCCTCTAATCCCTGACTGGGCGACGAGCGCGGGAGTGAGATCCCGCAATATTCCAACATTTCGTCGGCTCCCCCAAAATGCCCTCCTATCTCGAATTTCTCGCTCTTAGGAATTGAAGTCAATCAAGGCCCCAAGTTTGAAGTCAGACTGCCGCGGGCCACAGAAAGTCGTCTTTGTCGTTTTCACAAGCATTCTTTCCAACCACTTCGTCACGCCAAGATGAAAGGGACTGTCCCCTTGAGAACTCATTGATAAGTTGGACGGCGATTGTCCTTGGGCTTCGTGGTTGATTATATTCGATGATTCTTTGGGACGCACACGAAGCTTGCAATGGCACAACCATAAATATGCATGGTTTGATGTCTGTAAAAGCCGCGATTTAGTGTCATGCGGAGTTGAGTATTAACAGGCGGCTTGGGGATGGATAGTGTGGAACCATGAGATGCAAGCTGCCTCCGAATGCAAGCTTTTCCTCGCAACCGCGTTGCTCTTCGCCCGATGGGACCTGAAGAAGCCTCACCATGAGCCCTCGATTTCTAGCCTTGGCATATATAGGAACAACTGGCTCGGGTCTGTCTCGAAGAGAAGTACGCCGAATCGTCACGAATTGCCCCACCGTCCGCGAGAGAACTGACAAATGGCCTCTAACGTGGAGAATCTACATATGTGCGACGAAACTGAGAGGAGGAAGACGTTCCGTCTCATTGCGCTAGAGCGTTAAGGAAATTTTTCTAAGGTTCTAGCGCACTATTGTCATCGTCGAAGCTGCTCGGAGTGAAAGTGGCAAGTGAGTTCACTTTCGCCCTCAGATCTGTCCGTCAAAACAAGAGGAACGAACCTGCTCAGTTGAACGTGCCCGGATTCGCGGCAGGAGACTGAATGGTGTGCGACTTGTGTGCATTGTCAAGCCGTTTGTTATACCGCGCTTCGAATACCGCAAGTTGGTTGAGGTCGGGCAAAATGAAGTTCAGTCCGGCGCTAGTGCACGGCTGAGGCGATAAAACATCCTATCTTCACGTGACCGGGCCACTGGTCACGTTTTAAGGATTTCCCTGCGTGGACTTGCCTACATTAACACTGCGTCCTCTGCTATGTTGTCCTACGTTCAGACTACCCCTAAGCGGTTGGCTCGCAGTGCACCCTGAAAAGAGCGGATCACGTGAGGAACACCAAAACTTTCGTACCAGTACTATTTGACGCCACAGCAAGCGAGCTTGCGAGCCAGGGTGTGGCTAATTGACCTTGCAATTACTCGAGTAATTCTAGCTACTCGTCTACATAACACTTCTACATAACACTGAGTTATAATCTACATAACACTCTTACATAACACTGAGTTATAATCCGTAGATTCATACACTGTCACGCGGAGGCCTGTGCGGGAACACCAAATCCACGCTTGACCTCTTTACCCTCCTCGCTCCTTCCGCTTTACTTTAGTTCACGATGTCTCAATTTAAACCAACCCGAATTAAATCAATTATACTGCCCCGGGTGTCGCTGCCCTCGGTCAATCTTTCAGTTCCCTCTAAAGGACGGCCGGCGGACCGCAATGTGTGCTTCTTGCCTTGAGCGATAGGCCTTGCGCTATGCAAGTATTCAAGAAGAACGAGAGAGAGAGAACGAGGGCAGGAGGGAGAAGGAGAGCAGGCTACGGGTAAGACAACGGACCTATTTATAGGCAAATAGTAGGCCTGTTTACGGGTAGGCTAACTCTTCTAGGGCCGTAAACCCGTTGCTCAAGCTGCTTGCAACTCTGCGATCTTAGCCGCTTCCTTACCTGCGAGCCCTGCCGGCGCCAGAATGCTAAATCGAATCAGCGTCGATCTCGAGCTCAGAATCCAAACCCTCCTCCTACCCACGCCGTTCTCGCGAATCATATCCAGTGCCGGCAGCAGGCTACTGGGAAGAAGGAGAGGGGGTTTACCGGGTACCGGGCAATTACGGTCGATGATTATACTCGGGAGCTAACCCAAGAGAAGGGGCAGGAGCTACAAGACTGGCAGTAGCGGGGTGAGGATAGGGAGGCAAAGAGGAGGGTTTAGGAGGTAGAGAGGAAGGAGCGAGTAAGGTAGTTACGGGGACGAGATTTCCCAGAAGAGGGGGAGTAAAGGGAGGTAGAAAGGGGAAGGAGGAAGATGAAGAGGAATGGAGAGAGGTGTACAGAGTTGGCAGAGAGGGAAGATCAGGAGAGGAGGGAGAGGCAAGAGAGGAGGGAGAGGCAAGAGAGGAGGGAGAGGCAAGAGAGGGAGCGGCAAGCTAAAGGACAGGCTTGCGGACCAGTGGAGAGGCAAGTAGAGGAGATGTATATAGACGATTATTACGAATTTAACGATGATTATTAGTTTTGATTCCAGGGTAAGTGAGGCTTAAGAGGCCTGCAAGAGGGAAGGGAGTGCCCTGCGAGTACGAGTGAGGCTTGAGAGGGCTTAACGGATAGGGGAGTGAGCTTTACAGGCTCGTAAGATTGCTAGGGGGTCTTACGGGCGGGAGAGAGAGAGAGCTTCGCGGGCCCGCAAGAGGGAAGGGAAAGCTCTACGGGTAGGAGTGAGGTGTGGGAGGGCTCGCAAGAGGAAAGGGAGACCTTAGAGAGCCCCTAAGAATTCGAGTTCCCGCACACTTACACGTCACATTAGAGCGAGCTTGCGAGCGCAGTGTGGCTATATTTAATAAGGAGAAGGTTTTATAAGTAAGAGAGAGAGCTTAATAAGTAAAAGTAAGGCTTAGAAGGGCCTATAAAAAGAGAGAGTTTTTGCGAGCATAATTAATAGCTATAGTAGTTCGGAAAGACAGGTAAAGAGCTTTGCAGGCAAGAGTGAGGGCTGGAATGGCCTATAAAGAGAGATAGAGAGCTTTGCAAGTAGGAGTGAGCATTGAAACGGCTTATAAAGGAGAGAGCTTTACAAGTATAATTAGGGGCCTTATAGGCATAACTAGGGGGTGCGGCATTTTGGAAAGAGAGAGAAAGAGCTCTATAAGTAAGACTATGGTTTAGAAGAGCTTATAAGAGATAATAGAGAGCTCTATACCCAAAGTAGAGGTCACGTGATTAACATCGAGGTCTCGGCCGCTCCGCTAAAATCATCGCTGGCGACCCTACGCAAGCTCCTGGGCCAGCGCTGATTTTGCCGTGACCTCGTCTCGCATACACACTCTCACCAACGCACTTGCTCTTGCTCCACCACATTTTTCACTGTCCGGATTTGCTCGGATTGCTGTGAAGTAGTTCAGCAACATAATAGTCGGCGTTGCAGCTTGTCACGTTTTTGTCGAACGCGGGAAAGTATGATCAACAAGCAATCAGGGGTCTACCACACGACTTCAGTCGATGTCGCCAAATCAAACCGTACAACACTCTTCCTTGCTGGCCTCAAAAGAACGTACGGGGATTTTCGGGAGAAGCAGAGACAAGGCGATGCGCCCCGTCTTGTTGACATCACAAATACGACTGGATTCCATCATCCCACCGTACATCAAGACAACGGCCTCGCACCTCTCGAAGCAGGCAAAGTGCAAGATGTTGTTGATCGTGACTTATCAATTTACTCTCAACGGCGGGGCCTTGCTTTGACGCCCACCATAACATCCAATCCTCTCCTCGACCTATCTCATCCCGCTTACGGATTACCGAAGCAGCTCGTCGACAATTTCGCATCTGTTGGCATCAAATCTATCTATCCATGGCAATCTGAATGTCTGTTGAAGAGCGGGGCGCTGGGCGGAGAGAATAACCTTGTTTATACGGCCCCAACAGGCGGTGGGAAATCACTCATCGCTGACGTCTTGATGCTGAAAAAGGTGATTGACACCCCAGGGGAGAAAGCAATGCTCGTTCTGCCTTACGTGGCACTGGTTCAAGAGAAGATGCGATGGCTCAGGAAGGTTGTGGAAGGCATCACCAAGACACCGGCTTCTCCATTCCTGGGCGAGCGACGACCATCTGCTTGGCGAAAGCGTGGAGACGAAGACTCTGTCAGAGTTGCAGGCTTCTTTGGCGGAAGCAAAACAAAGGCAACTTGGGATGACATGGATATTGCGGTCTGTACAATTGAAAAGGTACGTTGGTTAGATAGCACTGAGAGTTTACTAATTACAAACAGGCCAATTCTCTTGTGAACGCAGCCATCGGTGATCTCTCTATCGGAAGACTCGGAGTGGTTGTAATAGATGAATTGCACATGATCGATGACGAAAGTCGAGGTTACATCCTAGAATTGATGTCCACGAAGCTCCTTAGCCTCGAACAAAAAGTGCAGATCATTGGTGAGTCCAGTCAAGGAATATTTCCTTGTAGATCCCGTCAACAAATTTGGTCCCTAGGACTATCAGTTAGATTCCACCATCCCCCAGATTACAGCACAATCAGAAGATAGGCTAACTAAAAGATACTCATAGGGATGAGCGCTACTCTGAATGTGAGTCGGTGAGGTTTAGACTTGTTTTTTTCTTTTTTTGCAATCGCTGAGCCAGAACAGAACGCGGAACTTTTGGCAAAGTGGCTAGATAATGCCAAATTCTATATTTCGAGATATCGGCCTGTGCCCGTCGAAGAGCACCTCGTCTTCGACAACGCTGCCTACCCGGCATCATCTTCGACCATATTTTACAAAACAGCGACACAACTCAATACACAGAGCGAGAACGCCTCCCAATTAAAGCCCGAGCCGGCTCGGTTAATAACCCAATCCCTAAGCAAAGAGCTAAATAACCCCATAATCAATGCTGTGGTAGCCCTTTCGAACGAGACAGCAAGAGCAGGGTACGGAGCCTTGGTCTTTTGCAGCAGCCGTGTAGGCTGTGAGAAGGATGCGATGCTCATTAGTCAAGTGCTGCCAAGTGCCGGAGAAGTGGATTTTTCCACCGCGGAGAAACGGCGAGACTTGTTGAGTGACTTGAGCACGACAACGGGATTAGATCCTATCTTGGAAAAAACCATTCCGGTCGGCGTTGCATTTCATCGTGAGTCTGATCAAGAGCAAGCTAAATTTTGTTCTCATCGATTTCGCAGATGCTGGTTTGACCACAGAAGAAAGGGACGCGATCGCAACTGCGTACGATCAAGGAGTCATAAAAGTCATTGTGGCAACGTGCAGCCTAGCAGCAGGCATAAACTTACCCGCAAGGCGCGTAATCCTTCATGGAGCCCGCATGGGTGCCGATTTAGTAGGCCCTTCAATGTTGTAAGTGCCCTGAGAGCTACCAGCAATGACCTACTAAATGATTAGGCGGCAGATGAGAGGAAGGGCAGGGCGGAAGGGGAAAGATGAGATCGGTGAAACTTATCTTTGCTGTCAGAAAAGCGACCTTGAAGCGGTCGCGGAACTGATGGAAGCTGATATTCCCAACGTGGAGAGTTGTCTTCTGCCTGGGAAAAGAGGTATAAAAAGGTAACTATCAAGTCAGTAGTCCGTGATCGCCGAAAGAAATTGCTGACATGGACTGGCAGAGCATTGCTCGAAGTTATAGCTACAAAGCTTGCCATGAGTAACGATTCGATTGATGATTATATCAGGAAAACACTGCTCTTTCATTCGATTGATCGTAACGAGCTAGCAGAAATGGTTTTGTCAACCGTGCAAGAACTTAAGGAGACCCGCCTCATCGAGGAATCTAACGGGTCGGAATATTCGGCAACTTCCCTCGGTCAGGCCATCGTAGCATCGTCTCTGACACCTGAAGATGGTTTGTTTGTGCACAGGGAACTGCGGAAAGCTATGCAGGCTTTCGTTATGGACGGAGAAATGCACGTCCTCTATTCTTTTACGCCCGTGCAAGCAGCGCATGGGAATATTAATTGGCAGATCTTCCGTAAGGAGGTAGACCGTCTTGATGAGAGCAATTTGAGAGTCCTGGAATTTGTGGGTCTCAAACCTCTCGTTCTCAATAAAATGTAAGCAGCCTGGATGAGCTCTCGTCCTGAGAAGCTAATAATTTTCGCAGGGCGCAAGGCGGATCCATGAAAGAGTCAACAGTCCAAGAAGTAGAGATTGCACGAATATATAGGCGCTTTTACGCCGCGTTGCAGCTCCGAGATCTCTGTAATGAGATGCCAGTCCACGCCGTTGCTCGAAAATATGACATTCCTAGGGGAATGGTCCAGAACCTTGCACAGACATGTCACGGTTTTGCTGCTGGCATGATCAAGTTCTGTGAACGAATGAATTGGGGGGCTCTTGTGGCTGTACTCGACCATTTTTCTGATCGGCTGAGGGCTGGTGAGTTCTAAATGCTTCTCCTGTGGCGAGATCGTCTCCGGATTGGAGCTAAACACCAACAGGTGCCAAATCGGATCTACTTGCGTTGGCCAAGATCACATACATCAAGAGTCGAACAGCTAGAATATTCTGGGAGAACGGTTTCAAAAGTGTAGCTGCTGTGGTCAGTCCTTTTCTCTTGACGTCTTGCTAGTTTCGTTTCCTGCGAACATTGATTTCAAATGCGACCTGTACTTTTCAAAGCGATACTAATGAGAAATCCCGGAATCTAGGCAGCAGCCGATGTCAAGGACATAATGCCAGTTCTATTACTCGTAAGCGCTCCTTCATCCGACCGGACTATGATACTGATGAAGGGTTTAGGCACAACCGAAGAAACCAAGACTTAGCCCTCAAGACGAAGCGGAATATTTAAATAAGCTGAGGGGAAAGGCCGATATCATATCAAAATCGGCCAATCATTTATGGGGTAAGCTGTGTCAGTGTGCGTAGGAACCTAAGCTGACGATCATCAGAAAAGGAGATGCAGGCACAGCTTGACGAAGAGGAGTGAACGTGTTAAATGGATTCAACGTATCCTAAACTTTCTTCATTGCCTTGGTATGAGTTACCCCTCAAAGGGCTTAGTTCACGTGTTAAGCGCAGAGGAAGACACTTTACCGCACTCGATGAGAGGGCCATATCATGTGCTAGAAAATGAACCATTCTCCGCATTCTCTCAGTTCAATCGAATTCCCCATGAAACTGTGTTTCTTGGTCTGCTGGTGTCACCAAGTAGTTGAGACATTGGCTAATAGTGGTTGTTCGAGGTAGTAATAGGACTTCCACTTGGTCGGAATGCTAACGAAATCGGAGAGGAGAGGAAACCACAGACCTTCTTCCACTTTTGTTCCAAAAGCAAAGAAACGGTTGAAGTCGGGGATGATACCAGCAATGCAGAATTTGCTCGGCTTTTATGCAGTCTTGACTGGATCGTGGATTAGGGGGCTCAGGACAAGCTGGGACGAGATCAAAAGCCTGGAGAAAACAGAATCACGACACAACGTCCATTCACAATGTGCAAGGTACTGGCAAGCCTCAATTTGATTCAATGCAATGCAAAGAATGCTAATTCATCCATTTACACAGCGATGCTATCATAAAATCGAGCACTTAGCCGGCAAACCGCAAGGTCCTTCTTTGTCCTTCGCCTCCGGCTCCCCGCTCGTGCCATTTGTATTTGTTTTCGGTTTTTGTTGGGTATTTTGTTCTTTCTTTGCTACTGCCGCCGTTTCCGACTTCGTTCCACTGGCTGAGGAGCCATCTAGTCAGAATGAGACCTTCAGGATGTGCTTGCCGAAGGTCTCGCCCTGGATAGTAGCGAGCTCGAGCTCGAGGGCGGAAGGCGAGCGGGATCCGTCAGCGCCCTGGGAGGTTAGTTGGTTTGTGCAGCGCTTTTTGAGGATTACTTACAGCGAAGGTTCCGGCGCCCCATGGAGAACCACCACGGACTTCAGAAACATTGGTGAGTTGGGGGAAGGTCTTGGCATATCCAAGGGGAACGTAGATGACTGGAACGGATGTTAGTGTATGATTTCGTGCTAAAAGCATATTTCCAAAACGACCAACGGCCGTTGATAGGAATGCCACTTACTTCCGTGGTGTGCCATGGTAGACATAGCGGCAATGACCGTGCTCTCTTGTCCACCACCCGGGGTACCGGTCGAGACGAAGACACCGGCGTATTTGCCATAATATCCACCGGATCCCCATTGGCCGCCAGTGGTATCCCAGAACGCCTTCCATTGAGCTGGGAAGTTACCATAACGGGTGGGAATGCCAATGAGGAACGCATCGTAGCTCTCGAGGGTCTTGGCATCGATGATTGGGATATCGGCGGACTTGGGAGGAGCGTACATCTGAAGAGGAGAATGATTAGTGAGAATTAGACCGAGAGGGACAATTCGCACCTTGGTCAGGACTTCTTGAGGGAGAGTCTCGGCGACCTGATAGAGATCGGCCTCGATGCCGGCCTTCTTGAGACCTTCCTTCTCAGCTTCGGCAAGCTTCTGGATGTGTCCACTTGAGGCAAGACTGTTAGCACCTGTAGTTCTGGAATGTAGCGATCAACAGTCTAAGATAATTCCTGAACAATGGGGGGCATCAAAGGTATGCAAACGGTTCCAATATATCCGCGGCCGCTTCTTATGGAAGACTTGGGGGTGCTTACTACATGGAGTACTAGAATACAAGTTAGCATATATAACCATTTGTGATGTGTGAAAATGTCTCTCATTCATCAACACGTAGCACAAAGCTCAAGGCGACAAGGACAGCGCTGTGAAAGGTAGGGAAGCGTTCTGCGATGATGTGGCACTGCATGCATTGCATTGCATTGCAAAACTCGCCGGGGGATGGATGGCGGAGTAATGTGCTTGTTGACTTACAAAAACGATGGCGACTTTGGGAGCCATTTTGGGGGATTGCGGGTCTAACTGGGGTGTGAGGTGAGGCTGGGGGGAGAGATTTGCTTGGAGAAGGGCAAATGCAGTAAAGAATTCAAGACGATGTGGGAGCGTCTAGGTCTGAGGAGGGAGAGGGAAGGGGGAAGGGGGAGGGAGCAGAAGTTCGTCTTTTATAGTTGCGAGCCTGTGAGGGAGACCCGCCAGAAGCGGGGGGAGTGGGGGGGTTTTGGATTTGGGAGCAAGCGAGCAATTGACCAATCACAGAAGGGCATGGCAGGGGGCAAGGCAGGCCGCGGCCGGCTGGCGGATGCGGGGCTGGCGATGCTTCGGGTATAGCGCGCTGGCTGACATTGCTTTAATCAGCACGCGGCTTCACCTGTTGCACATCATCACCAAAGCATCAGTCAGTCAGCCATCAACCATTCAGCCATCAGCCATTCAGCCATCAGCCATTCAGCCATGCAGCCCATGCCCTGCGACGAGACAGATTGACGAGCAGTTCGGGCCCCCTGCACGGCACTACAGTGCAGTTTACCAAAGCAGGCCCACCCATTGCACAGTAATGAATTGTAATCGCTCCGTCGCCCGTCGCCCTGGCGAGGCTGGCCTGCACGGTACCCCCGCCGGTCCTGGCTGGAGGCTCGTGGTTCGTGGCTGCGGCGGCGGCACTTCTTCCATGACGTGACGCGCGAGAGCGCCAGCTCCGTACGGAGTACTCCCTGGTGTCCGGTATTACTATTGTTTCGTTCGGCGGGCCAGGTACGGTGCGGCTAATTTACATGTACTGTACAGTTACAGGTACAGTCCCAAGCCCCAGCTGCCTGCAGACCTTGCAATACTGTACGGAGTACTGCACTGCACTGTACTGTTCTGACGGTACCGTGTGAAACTGGCCGCCTCCACGGCAGTGGCCCCCGGAGGTCCAGCGGAGCGTCACCCGAGCCTGTGTTCCTCGACTGCATCTCCCATCTCACAAAGACGCTCCGCTGGCCCTCCGGGGGCCACTGCCGTGGAGGCGGTCAGAACGGACAATGGGCAATGGGCAATGGCCAGTGCCTGTGGGCGGGAATCACAGGGCAAGGCAAGGAAGGCATGCTGGCTTCCTTGCCTGCTTGCCTGCTTGACAAGCATGATGGCACCGAGGATGGGCCTGCGCCGGCGAGGACAAGCGCCATGGGGCCTCAGGCACAGGGTATGTAGTCATATACCAGTCACTTCTTTATATTATCGTACGTTTGGACCACCCTTAAGCGGTTGGCTCTCGGGGCTCCTGGAAAAAAAACTGGTCACGTGAGGAACACCAGAATCGCCCCCTTCTAGGGAATCGCGCATCGGAACGCGATTACGTCTAAATCCTTAGAGCTTAGCTTAGGATTATAGAGAGAATACTCGAGTACCTTTCTCTATATTTTAGTAGTTCTGAGATACGAGGGGCTTTTATTATAATTTTTTAAAGCTCGGGGGAAAATCTGAAGCTAGCGGTTCCGTAGAAAGCGCTAAGAAAAGAAACCCTGACCTTATATTACTCTTCTCTCTTTCTTCTCTTTATTACTATGGATCCTCCCCGCTTTTGTACTTCCTATAGGCAAAACCGGCCTGGTTCTGACTTTATTACAGAGCGGGCTAAGCCATATAAAACTTACTTTCACTATCGAGTTTGTATCCTTCCCCTTTTCTGGCTTAATTAACTAGTTAATAGGCCCGAAATACTACTAATTATACCTAGCGGCGCCCTGCCTTACAAGAACTCGATCCGAATGCCCTCCCTACCTCCCGGCGATAATAACGGTCGATTACGGACGTCTCTATAGACGAGCTAGCCCTATAGCGCCAGTAACGGATCCGTTAACCGTCCGTTACGGCCCTAGTTCATATTATAAAGAACCCTCCTGCCGACCTACCTACTATATGGCCTCCTGCCTTCCTCTCCTGCTTCCGGCCAGCTCCCGCACATATGACTAGTCCGCTTACGGGTTACTATATAGCTTATAGAGCTCTTTATTTTGGCTATATGGATAATTGCTTTGAGGCCTATTATAAGAAGGGTAATGTAATAGCGGGATTAATGCAATGGTCGAAGGCTCAAAGTTCAAAGAATCTCATGTATTGGAAAATACTAAGCTATGGAACAAAGTAGGGAGGATGCCTCGACCTTTAGTATTATTCCGTCCAAGCAATTCTGGCTTAGCTTCGTTTTGTGCCTGTTTCTGATATCCTGTCCTTAGCAGATCATGCCCTTACACCAGCCGTCATATTACCCCCCCCCCCAAAGAGAAGTCTAAATGCCCTTATTTAGGGGATTATTCAGCCGCAGTATAGAAAAGAAAAAAGAGGAAATAACGGCCATTGACCCCATTCCGTCTAATCCCCATAGCTTACTTATAATCGAAGCGTGGTCTTGACTCTGCCAGAATAACCCAGTTCCTAGTACGTTCCGGCCAGTCCTTAGTATCCGTCGCTCGCATTATGCCTATACCCATATTAATAATATGGTTTGGGAGTACCATATAGGCCATAGCCGATATTGGGACTATTATTATCGGGCGGTCTTCGAATAGGAGTAGCAGATCGAGTCCATCCGTTAATACAGGCTTCGATATAGTAGCTTGCTTGCCTTTCTTCTTAGTTAGAGTGGCGGTATTTGGCTTGATTATACCGTTTTTAAGCTACTTAATTAACTTCTGGGCCTTCTCGAGCTTAATATATACGTTCTCAAGTTATCCCTCTATAGTAGAGACTTATATATTAAGGGCGGCCACTTGAGCTACTTTATTATCAAATCCCCGGGCCTTAAGCTATATGATTTTAATTTTATAGGAGCTTCTAAGGGGTTTTCCGACTTCTTAAATAGTATTATTTACTAATTCATTAATGTCTATAAGGTATTACTTCTTTAATTCGGCCTTTAGGATTATTTGCCAGCTCTTGGTTTTAGACTAGTACTTTATATAATAACTACTACTTAGTACCGTACGTCTTCTAGTTATAACAGGCGTCTTAATACTAGTTTGGCCACCTTTATTATAGTCAGAATCTCCTTCGTTACTAGAAGTCTTTCTGTCCTTAGTCTTTTTGTTATTAGAATCCTCGCTATTATCCGATACCTTATGCTTCTTAGACGAGCTAGCCTTACTCTTTTTTGCCTTCTTGGCATTTGGCTCTATAAGATTAATTAGATAGCTCTCATTAGTACCGTTTATTCCGCCTATTTAGCTATTAAACTTATTATTACTAGTAATCAAAACCTCTATTTCGTTATTATTAGAACATTCTGCCAAGATATTCTCTATAGTAATTTCAGGTATATTCTTAAGAATAGTACGGGCCGTATTTTATATATTAACCTATTCTTGGGTAAGGGAATTACCATTTTCGTTTATAAAAGTAGTTTGGCTAGTAGTTATATTAATAATAGTAGTAGCTACTAAACTTGAGATATTACTACTACTACTTAAGTTATTTAGGATCTGGCAAGTAGCCTTACTTGGTCCGGCTATAGATAATATATTACCGGGATTTCTTGTCTATTTTACCTTTATTAATAGTTTTATTAAGGTAGTAGTAGTAATATAAATAATTAAGGTTATAAAGATTAAAATAATTAGGAAGGTTTCCCTCGATTTTTAATAATATTTCGAACTAATATAGGCGAGTATTTACCTTTAGTTTAGCTTTAAGAATTTACTTTTTTTTATAATTTACCTAGATAGTAAAATATAGTCTAGTATAGTAAAGAAAGGTATTTTGCCCAGATTTCTGAAAAAGAGAGTAGGTACTAATATAGTAGAATAAAGGAAATATACTAGGGTTTAGATAAAACCCGGGAAATGTCTAGGTTTTTCTTTTTCTCTTCTAGTTATAGAGGCCTTATTATTAAGATTTATTATTATCTAGATAGTCTTTATTAAACTTATTTTCTTTAGTATACCAAATTTATTTATTTAGCTAAATAGGAGGTCCTGCTTTACCAGGATTCTGCTTATAGAATTTATATAGTTTAAGTATTAAGTTCTTGAAATTTAATATAAAATACTATTTATTATCTATATTCTATTTCTTCTATTTAATCTTATAATAAAGCTTATTATAAAGTATCTTAGAAAAGAGGATCTTTTTAACTTCCTATTTGAGTTTACTATTAACTTTAATAAAACCAGGCTTTTTATTAGTCTGGCCAGGTAATAAATTAGTAGGATTCTTATAAAGTCTATTTATATAGAAAATTAGCCAAATCCTATATAATAAGGAAAGATCTAATTAATATAAATAACTAACTATTTTATTAATCTTAAATAGTTTAATAAGGAAGTAGTCTAATTTATTAGATAAATAGTTTATTTTCTATATCTTTTTAATTATATAGACTATATTTTCTAAACTAAAGTCTAGTTCTTACTATTTCTTATTAGCTTACTTAGCTTAATATTCCTGAGCTATTACTATATATTCTCGGATATAATTAATAATAGTATTAATTTTCTTAGCCTACTATTATACTTTCTCCTAATTAAGTTTCTTTCTTAGTATTTTGAACTCTATTATTAGTAATATCTAGTTAAAGTTTAACCTGGGTTTATATTTGTAATTAATTATTAAGGGAAATAAGCTAGTTAATTTATATGAGTAGGTAGTACCTATAGTATTAAATACCAGAAGTAAATTTGCCTAATTATTCTGGAAATAATTAATAAAAAGGCAAAGTCAGGTATTAATAATCTAGTTAATAATTTCTATTTATTTATTAGTTTAGGTATATTCTATAGTTAAGAGCTTTAGCTTAGTTCTAGTTAATCTTAATAGTTTATTTATAAAGTCTAAAATAAATTAGGATTCTTAGTTACTTATAATAGTAAGGGAAGATTCTCGGAATTACTAAATATAATAGTAAAACAGGCCAGTAGTAATCCTAGCTATAGTATTCTTAGTTATTAGTAGGCTTATATATTATTTAAATAATTAATTAACTATAATAAATATATTATTATATTCTTTATTTATAAAGCTAGAAATATAGAAGTTTATAGACAAATTATCTTATATTCTTAGAAGAACTAGTAATAGATATAATAGGCCTAGTATTTTATCTCTTAACTTATAAGACTTTTAATATTTATAGTAGTTTATTATAAAGTAATTAATATTTATAAAA